TTCGTCTTATCAACACTCTGCGTTGCGTGGTTGGTTCAAAAAGTAAGAGCCAATCATGTTCGACTGCTGAACGTTACCATTGGTGTCCGTCAGCTCCGATTGTCGCTAGTATCGCCATAGTTGCCGAGTTGCCCTTCTATTACCATTCCATCTTCCACCGATTCTATCGTCCGCCATCTTCCTTGATCTTTCCGCAGCGTTCTTTTCCGTACGGTCCGTCGTGGCGACTACGTTTTTCGCGTAATTTTAACACAATGGTGAGTCAATTCTTTTCAATATGATGTTTATTTGATAAAATAAACTATAATACGCGATAATGATTTATTGAGAACCAACGAAAAAGCGAGATGCTTATTTTCTAGAAGGATTTAATTGCCGCGTGGCTAGGACATATTCCTGTAGAGAAACCGGCACGTTTCGCCCGTATAGTTTTAACACTATTTGCTTCTTTTGAAAGAACGCATTCTGTTTTAAAAAGATATCTGACGTTTTCCGTTATGCGAAAGAAATAAGCAAATATTTATGCTTAACAAGATAGGTTATGAATATTCCGGATATATACTTACTTGGCCGTGCTCCAAAATTCACTCTCGTTAACTAAAATGCTATAGTGTACGTGACGTAAACTATAGATTTTAGTTATCCAGAGTGAATTTTGGAGCGCAGCCCTTCATTTTAATTTAGTTATACCGCAAATTATATGCTTACTTGTTAGGAAGAGATAAATGAGGAATAAATTTTCCATGATGAAAGCTTCAGCTCACTTTGATACAGAAATGAAATGAAATTTTTAACCCTGTTGACCCTATTTGAATATGGTAGAGAAGTAACTAAAAACTCCGCAACTCTACGCTCTTGTTCTAATCCCTGCATGCTCGCTCGTAGGGTTTCGTCAAAGTGGTCAAGAATAAGCAGTACTTCAAGCGGTACCAAGTTAAGTTCAAGAGGCGCCGCGAAGGAAAGACTGATTACTATGCTCGTAAGCGATTGACTATTCAGGACAAGAACAAGTACAATACACCTAAGTACAGGTTGATCGTACGTTTGTCCAACAAGGATATTACGTGCCAGGTAATTTGATTGATACGCTTAAATTCCGTCACAGTTCAACGAAGACTCGACTAGTTAGGAATATTGCCATTTTAACTAAAATTTTTATACAATATATATAAAATTTATGTTAAGGATAATAATTATGGTACTTGATAACGCATATGTATCGCGTATTCTCAAGGTTGCCTATTCGAGAATTGAAGGAGACAGGATCGTATGTGCTGCTTACAGCCATGAACTTCCCAAATATGGAATTAAAGTTGGTCTTACCAATTATGCGTCTGCTTACTGCACCGGCTTGCTCTTGGCTAGAAGGGTAAGTCGTCTTCTCTACTTTTTTTTTTTTTTTATAAATATATGTCTAATATGTGATACATTGCTACATGATGACATCCTCAGCTCGCTTTGATTTCTATGAAGAAAACACGATTGTTCCCTGTTATGCAAAACCTGATTAGCAAAAATTATTAAATATTTGTACCAAATGATGTTCAGAGATCAACCATTATAATCAAACGTGTGAAATTTGTTTTTGATAGCTTCTTAAGAAGCTGGGATTGGATACCTTATACGTGGGTACTACAGATGTGACTGGTGACGAGTACAATGTCGAGGAATTGGATGATGGCCCAGGTGCCTTCAGATGTTACCTGGACACGGGATTAATGCGCACCACAACAGGCGCCCGAGTTTTTGGCGCCATGAAAGGCGCGGTTGACGGTGGTCTCAATATCCCTCATAGGTAATTAAAAGATACAATTGTATCTTAATATAATTTTAATTGTATCAATTTAATAATTTATGCTTTAAACATATTTTTGTTGTCATAAATATCATCTTTTCTTCCTGCTTTTGTTTTAAATATATGTCTAATATGTGATACATCGCTAACATGATGACATACTCAGCTCGCTTTGATGTTTCTATGAAGAAAACACGATTGTTCCCTATTATGTATCCTGATTAGCATGTATCATAAATGAAATGAAATGAAATAAATTTAAGTTAATCTCAATCAGATCAATTATGTACAATTGCTTGATAAAACAAATACACGTAATAGTTTATGATTTCATGATATAAGTGCATTGTTTAAGTTTTAAAACTTGCTTTTGTCTTTATGGTTTGATGATTTTTTGTTGTAAATTTTATATAAAACAAAATAGGATTAGAGTATCTCAATATTGATTCTAAAAATTTTGTAATTTATCATGTCATGTAATTTTAGCTGCGTTTCAGTTATTGAGTTGTTTTGTTTTACAGTACCAAGCGATTCCCCGGTTATGATGGCGAATCGAAGACGTTCAACGCAGATGTGCACCGACAGCACATATTCGGCCAACATGTCGCGAACTACATGAGACTGTTGGAAGAGGAGGATGATGAAGCTTTCAAGAGGCAGTTCTCCCAATATATCAAGCTTGGCATCTCTGCGAACGATGTAAGCGACTACAATGCAATTCTGAATGTATATCTATATGATTTCAATATACATACGTCCAATTTAAAATTGCTACTTAGATTATTCAAGTCTACGTAGCGTCGCGATTGGACAACAGCAATCTTCATTGGTTGTTAATTGTAAATGCATACATTTAACGCATTTATTAAAATAAACCTGTGTTACATACACACGCTATTATGTAGACAAACATTGAGATAACATACAAAAAAAATGTTACAGATCGAGAACATATACAAGAAGGCCCATGAAGCCATCCGGGCCAATCCGGAGCATACGAAGGTTACGAGAGAGAAGCCACCAATCAAAAAGAGATGGAACCGTGCGAAATTGTCATTGTCCGAGAGGAAGAATCGTGTGGCTCAGAAGAAGGCCTCCTTCCTCAAGACCTTGGAGGAAGCGGAGGTGTAACCATTCTTCATTCTGGATTATTACGATGTGTACACGGATTCATGTGTATAAATCAACCAAGAATAAAGAAAACTCGATATATATGTATAGTGAATCTATTAATCATATTAGCGTATATAATTTATACAAATAAAATTTATTTTTAACAAGTTATCACCAAGATACAAATTAACCTAATCAGAAATTTGATTAATCTAGACTCTAATTTTGTTGTTTATAAAAATTCAAGTCGTTTTTACATGCGTCTGATTTTGCTGTAGAAACCCAATATCGAACGCCATAGTTTGTGCGTGGTTAATCTCTAAGATCAATCTTGTGTATCTTGCATTACGCTTCTGATTAATGGCACAGCTTTTACTTTCTTTCGTGCTGTTGAACGACGAACGAATTATTTCTCTCTAATTTATTAACTTTACCCTCTTGAATCGTATATACAAAATCTAGTATAATATATACATGAGGAGCGTTTTGCATATTGTATATTATATATTAAAATCTTCGACATTAATACTATTTCTTCTAATATTACGATTTTTAATAGTCTCGTTATAATGTTAGAAAATTCAGTTATTTTAGTAATCAGAATTTTTGTTCGACAGCGGAAACACGATGCATCTCGTATCATATTTTCGGGATTCAACTCAATTTGAGATCGAACGTTCGGTGTTACATTAATGTATAACTGGATGTGGATAACTGACATTTATTTAGGATGAGAAGGTAGTTCGAATATCTTATATAAGTTTTTAACGAAAAAGTGACAGTCTGCTGCGAGAACCGGGTAACCGACCTTGTGCATCAAGCAAGCCGTTTTGAATGTCCGCCATGGAAGGTACAGCCTTTACTTCGCCACGTGCTGCTAAGCAAGGTGGTGATTTTAATAAACGTTGCGCTACTCGGTTGATGTCATCCTTGGATATTCCATCTGCAAGAATCGTGTTTTTTTTATGAATGTTATGGAAGAACCGGATTTTTGTTATTAAATTGAAAAGAACTTTGCAGCTTACTAATAGCTTGCATGAAGTATTCAGGCCGTTTTCTGGTACCAGTCGCTAGGACCTGTCTACCAATATCTTCGAATACAACGGGCCGTTGTTCCAAATTCATAAGCAGCATCGACTGCAATTGCTTCTTTGCTCTCTATACAAAGAATAAGATTTATAAACACGATGTAATATTAATAACTGGTTCAGAAATGTAAAAATCATACCGCTAATTCGTTATCCGAAATTCCGCTCGTCATGGCGACCATCTCGCGCACAATTACTTCTACCATATCCTTCACATGGGACGGTGTGCATGAGGCGTGAATACAAAATAAACCAGTGTCTGCATAAGCATGGTTGTATGCGGTTGCACTGTATAACCAATGATACCTACAACATACAACTTTCCCGATATAGTATTCTCGATTAAAACCCTCAATGCAAGTATGACATATAAATCTATTATAAATATAAACTACAAATTTATTCATTTTTTCTGAACATTAATTATTACAAAGTTGATAATAGGAAAAGGTACAAAAAGATATATAGAATAATTATTTTATATTATAAATCCTTTTTTTTTTAGAAACCTGAATAAAGCATAAAATGTATTACCTATTCAACACATTGGTGTACAAACGCGTGTACATGCCTTTTCCAGGACCGCCCGCGCTAAAACTGCCACCGCCTCCCATCATCATATTTAATACGCACATAGCAACAAAATCTGGATCTTGATGAGAGCAGCCTTCTAAACCTATAACAACGTGTGATAATTCGGGTAAGCCACTGGGTCCCGCATAAATCGGCACATTGCATTCCTCCTGTTAAAGATGTAAGCAGGTCTTTTATCTTTTAATTCCGCAATAAAGGCAAAAGTACTTTATCGTGTAGATGACCATACCAAAACATATCCTCCAGTATATTGTGCGACCGACATATCGACAGTATTTGCGTTATTTGGCAGAATAAGATCAGGCTGTTCCTCCCAGATAGGTTTTTGATCTACAAAATACCTACAAAACATCAAAGATAATATTTTATTATTATATGAACAGAAAGATTTAAAAAAATGTTTGTAACGTTACATTAATATCGTAAAACTAATCCTAGAATATGCTTAACTTATATTAGAAAGTTATCTACAAAATTATTTATAAATTACTTAAATATTTGTGAATTTATTTATAAATTACTTGTCACCATCTATGAAAAATTTATGGCTATTACTTAGTAACGGCGTGGACCAGGTCGTCATGTTCAACACCAACTCCAGCAACTACCATTCTATTCGGCACATAATGATGCTTGAGATATGTGTGTAAAATTTTCCTATCAATCCTTTCGATATTCTTTTCTGGACAGATCTTGGGCAAACCTAATGTGTTTTGCCTATACGCGGCCTACCAATATAATATCCATATGTAATTATGTCTTTTTTCCTTCACAATAAGAATACACTCGTAATTCTGCTGGGATATATCCAGAACCATTAGTTTCAACTCACAGCATGAATCATGTCCATCAATATAGGCTCTTGTTCTGGCCTAGTATGTAAAGATTCCAGTTCGAAGTGCACCGTTTGTCTGGAAATTTGTACCTAGAAACGATTTATAATTTAATCAAATGACAAGATGTATGACAATGATTTCTTGTAGAACCATTACACATCATACATACCTCCTCTTCTGTAATTTGAGGCCTTAAGACAATATCACCTAGAACTTGAGTAACTATATCTAACCCGCGACGTTCAGCCGATGCTGCGTAGACAAATGTGTCGCGAGACGCTTGACAATCGCATATACCGCCATGCTTTTCTAGCGCTAGCATTATCTTATCCTTGCTGTCAAATGTGTTTGTAGACTGTAATGAGTAATATAACATAGTTTTGTACACATTTATGAGAGAGAGATATATATACACATATATATACATATTAGAAATTAAAATTAAGAAAGATTATTAGTCATGAAGTATCTATTAATAAATTCAAAATTATTGAATAGACCATGTCAGCTACAAGTATAGGTCAACAATCTTCGATACTTGCTTATATGAAGATATTAACAGTAATACTTAATAAAGGAATCTTACACTAAATGCTAACTTTTCAAGAAAGTGCGAGATGCCGCTGGGATATGCCACTTCATATCGCGGACCCGAGTCAATGAGGACTGAAAATCAAAATAATAATATAACAATCTGCATACAAATCTATCAGTGTGGCCCAATTTACACCGATCTCTTGATACACGTATCAAATAGTATATTTGAATTGATCGGCCAATAATCAAACTAATTTACTGGTTATTTAATACGCATATCAAGTGATCGAACGGTAAACTAGGCCAACAGTTGCATACAATAACGAAATTGTGCTCAACTCACCACCTATAGTGCAAAATTGTCCAAATCTATTTTCAGACGCGACTTTCAAGCCATTTGGCAGGACTGTGATCTGCGTCGTTTGATGCTCCTCTTTCGTGGTCGAGTAAACAGCTTTTGGCAAATTTGGAATGGGTTCTGACAACGGTGGAAATGATGTAACGGTCTTCCTCTGATTCTCCTTCAAATCAGGGGGTATTCTCTGGGAGGAGAAGTTACACCTTTGCCAGGTATTGAAGTATCGCGAGCGGGTAGAACTGAAAGATAAAAGAAAAACAAATATGATAACGAACTTTCCATCGAATCGACGTGTAAAATGTATTGAATTCCTTTTCTTTTCTCCTCCTTTGGAAGAAATAAGATGAAGGTTATACAAGTCCACGACTCTAGTTTCGCGAGATGATTTGACATCACGTTGTCGCAGTCACCTTTTCTTAATCGTAACGATCAACGGCTTTCGCAACATCCTCGAAAACATTTTGTCAACTCGGGAAGATTTGTAGCATACAGATGTTAATTCCAGGCGAACCGCCGCCGCCGGAGACTGTATAGAGACGCACTCGAGATGTACTATGTACTCTACAATCTACAACGCAGAAATGTCAAGGAAAAAATGACAGCGAATCTCAATCGAATCTGCGTTTCTCACACAACGGATTCGCGAGTGAGAATACTTGAGCACGTTCGGTAACGATACATATCATAATATGTATATATATATACACATCTAAAATTTCAGCTTTGCGAAATATTAGGTTAGATTACGCATGCAGTTTATAGATACGCCCCGACTTGTTCCTTTCAGCTGTTGGTGCATGAAAACAATTGAATCGGCTTCATTTGTAATGTATAAATTACGAACGTAAAAAAAAAACAAATATATAAATAATAGTAAAATAATAATTTATTACTGTAAATGCGCTATATTAGTTACAATATAAATTATTACATTATAACATTAAATTAAAACATTAATAATAATTATATTTATTACACTATAAACGTATAATATGCTATATTAATTGCGACGTAAATTATCTGATATTAGATAATTTATATTCAGCTGATCAGCTTCGCGTTATATTTTCTGCATCTAAAACGTAAACAATTAGATAATTGGAGATTAAAATATATAGGTATGTACATAATTGGAGGGAAAAAGAAGCGAAAAGAATGCAAAAGATTTCGACTGTGAGGAACAAACTTATATCGACGGCCAATCACACTTCGTCGGCGAGACGTCGAGTCAACATGGCGAGGCCAATCCAGGTTCGTCGTTTCCTTCCTTTAGCTTCAGCTACACCATGCCTTTTTCCTCGTCCCCCCGCCGCAATCGGGTCCAACGTGTCCGTGGTGTTTGGGAGGAGGTGCGGAAGCGGCATCGTGACACCTCTTGGATTTAAAATGTCGACGTGTGACGTGTAGTTTACACCGACAAGCGGTGGAAAGAAATCTCGCCGAGAGAGAGAGAAATGGAATATTTTAAAAGCAGCCTGAAATCCGTCTTGGGAACCACTCCCGCCGGGACGCAGCCGACGGGTGCCGATACGGTGAGTGGGAACCGATGAATATATTTCATGTTTTCACGCGCCGACGAAAGGTTACTTCCCTATGTTTTGGACGAAGGTCGTAAGCGCCTTCGCTGCTGGGATTACGTCGCCGCTGATTATCCGATTAAAGCTCCCCGGCCGACGGACTTAATTACAGGTAGCTCACGATGCCGTTTCTCTTGCAATATTTTTCTGACGCAGGTGGAGAAACTGGTGGACAGACTGCAGTCTTCTACTCTGCTCGACGACAGAAGAGATGCCTGCCGTGCGCTCAAGGCGTTTTCGCGCACGTATCGCGTGGAGGTGGGTGCTCAGGGAATGGACGCGCTCAGGCAGGTGCTGGAGGTGGACAGGACGGATTGCGAGATAATCGGCTTGGCCTTGGATACTCTGTGCAATATAACGTATCCTGAAACGTTCGACGAAGAAGGTACAAGACCGCTTTATTTCTTTGGCACAATGAATTTTACGTCTGATTGCCACGCGTTATTTCAGTCGGCAAACACGACTCCAAGAGCCAAATAGGGGAACAGTTTACAGAAATATTCATTAAGCACTCGGACAGCGTTGGTTTGGTGCTGACATTTCTCGAGGAGTTTGACTTTCGCGTCAGGTGGCCGGCGCTAAAGCTACTGACGCATTTGCTGGCGAACAGACCTAAAGATATTCAGGAAATAATTCTGGTCAGCCCTATGGGTGTCTCTAAACTGATGGACTTGCTGAGTGACAGCAGAGAAGTTATACGCAATGATGTATGCTAAATTTATTATCTTTGAACAAACGCTTCTGGAATAATAAGAGCTTTGCTTATAATATGTTATTTATATTTGTTCTATATAGGTCTTGTTGCTGCTCATTCAATTAACAAAAGGCAATGCTAACATACAAAAGATAGTGGCGTTTGAAAGTGCGTTTGATCGCATATTTGATGTTATTGAGCAAGAAGGCAACGCGGATGGTGGTATTGTTGTGGAAGATTGCCTCCTGCTGATGTTAAATCTTCTCAGGGGGAATGTCAGTAACCAAAACTTCTTTAAGGAAGGTAATGTACTTGTCACAGGATTTCCCTAACAACTTGTATAATTTTTGCCGTTCTGTAATAATTTTTATATTGCAACGTACAGGTAGCTATATTCATAAATTGACGCCAATGTTCCAAATTCCCAATGAAACGGAGGATAACAATCTTGGTGGATCTTGGAGTCCACAGAAGGTGTCCAATGTTCACTGCATGGTGCGAGTTGTACGTGCGCTAGTAGCACCGAGTGCTCCTGCTCAGGTAGCTCGAAAATATTAGCGCTGTATGGAATTTACAATATTTGTATGTTGTTTAATTAATAAACAATTGTTTCGTGTGAAGGTAGTCGCAGCTTGTCAACGAACTATGAGAGCGTGCGGACTATTGCAAGCACTGTGCGATATATTGATGGCTAGCGGAGTGCCAGCAGATGTATTAACGGAGATCATTAATACTGTAGCGGAGGTAATAAGAGGGAATGCTAGTAATCAAGAATTTTTGGCGGGTGTCATGGCACCGAGCACTCCTCCAAGGTATGCCGAGTACGCTTATTTTGTATCATACATGTGCCATATTATTCAGAAGATAAATGACTTAAAAATTACATACAAGTATATTATAGGCCGGCGATTGTCGTTCTGTTAATGTCCATGGTGAACGAAAAACAACTGTTTGTTCTACGATGTTCAGTATTATATTGCTTCCAATGCTTCCTGTATAAGAATGAAGTTGGGCAGACGCAGTTAATCCAGACTTTGTTACCGCAAGGCAACGAGGGATCGTCGGTAACTACAGGTGTGTAAGCTTTTTTTTGTTTTTATAAAATAAAAAAGAACTCTAATTCTAGACAAACGTTCCTGATTGAACTATGAAATAACGCAAGACTGTTTCGCGTATATCTGTTGTCAGGACAGTTGTTGTGTGGCGGACTATTCTCTATAGATTCTCTGTCAAATTGGTTCTCCGCCGTGGCATTGTCGCACGCCTTGATCGAGAACATAAGTCAGAAGGAACAGCTTTTAAGAGTACTTCTCGCAACCAATATCGGGAAACCGCCAGTAACGCTTATGCAACAATGCGTTATGTTGTTGCAGCAGGGTAACAAAACGCAGTGTAAATTGGGCCTGCTGATTCTGCTTTGTCGATGGACCTCGTACTGTCCGCTCGCGGTAAAATCGTTCTTGGCTATCGACTCTTCGGTAGCGTATCTAACAGCCCTTTTGTCGTCGCAAGAAAATAACGACGATTTACAAGAAACCTTGCTGCAGAGTATGTGCGCCTTACTTATCGGCATTTGCGTACACTTCAACGACGATAGCGTACCTACTTATACTAAGGTAAATATCGACAAATATTCGTGCCAATCTGGTATATAAAGTAACTAATGAGTGATTAATAACAATCAATCAATCAATACCGGCTCTTGGATTTTGACTTGTTCTAAAGATTCGGTTTTTCTCTTTTATCTATTTTACGTGATGTAATTGTCAGAGCTACATACAAAAACCTTAACTAGAATGGCTAGATTTCTGTCAGGGTCGTCTACTCTTAACTTACGAATTTAAAAATTCGTACGTGGAATGAAGAATCGAATCCGTTATCGTGTATCTCAGCAAATAAATTCTCTGTATTGTTTTACAGGAAAAAGTGTGCAATTTAATAGAGAATAGAATAGGTTTGGAAAAGTTTCAAGATGCGATCGGTGGTATTGTCAGGCACGAAATATATTCTCGAACGTTAAAACATCCACAGCCGTCAGCTAAAAATCCGTCGGAACTTTTACTCGATCACGAGTTTTGCAGGTTGCTAAAAAGTTTGGAAGGTAATTTAGATACATTACAACAATTTGCATTAATAAGGAAAATTAATACCGTCAGTTTATTTTAAATGCAAATGAGATTTTTTTCTTCTTTCTAGGTGTTATAATAAAATCGGTGATAGATGCTAATAATGAACATCAGAACAAGAATCAATTATCTGTGATGAACTTACCTGATAACACATTGGTTTCACAATACAAAGACCTTATTAGAGAGCAGGATACACAAATTCAAAGGTTAAATCAAGCTAATGATTTTCTTACAAAAGAAAAACAAGAACTTGAGGTAGTGAGCGATTTTCGTTTTAGAGAAAAACAAATTTATAGAATATATTTTTTAAAGAATTTTTAACGTTGTCGCAGGCACAAGTACAAGAACTTCGATCGACTGTTAGTCATCTACGAGATCAAAATTTAGTCCTTCGAGCTGCACAAGCTAACATAGGGGATGGAAAGGAGACAATTGCTTCTAGTAATAATCTAGATTTGGAAAAGGAATTGCAGACGTATAAAACGATGGTTGCAGATTTAGAAAATCGTTTGGCGGAATATAAACATATAATGCAACAGCACGACGAGAAGAACAAAGAAAACAAGGAATCAGAATTGGAGTATCAATTGAAATTGAAGACAGATGAACTTGAGAAATTGAAGAAGGATCAAGAAGATCTTTTAGAACTCTTGACAGATCAAGATAGTAAAATTACACTGTATAAAGAAAGATTAATTGAATTAGGAGATAAGGTATGTTTTATAAAGCTTTTTTGTATAATATGTGATAAGTAAAATGTCTTCTTTTCTTTTTAGGTTGAATCTGATGAAAGTTCAGGCGAACTTGACACAGATGATCAACCAGAATCGAGCAACTAAGATGCTTTAATTGACGTTCTTTTGTCATCTAATTTAATGATAAATTAATAAGAGAATTCTTATGTTAACAAGCAAGTTTTCTTTTCTAGATTTTCTAAGATTTCATTTCATGTGTCATATAAATGATGTAAACATATATAAAATAGACTTGCAAATGTATATTTGCACATTTGCAAACGTGTACACAATTACATGCACACAGTTGTATAAACGAACATTTAGCCGTATTTTCAGAAACTAAAATGTATAAATTTTATATTTAACAGAGATATTTTAAGTAAACTGAATTATATCATTCTAATTCTGTGTAATTATGTTCTAACTATATTTAGGTGTTTAGTAAGTTTGTAAAAAAATAATAGAATTAATTGAAAAGCAGATTACATGTGAACTGAAGAAATCATCGCCAGACATTCCTATATGTTTAACGTAATTTGATGTCCAGTGCAGTCTTTAACAAAACGATATTTATAGAGTTATCCAACAAAAATGTATTTATTATATTTATTTTAAATAGCTTAACTAATCTACTAACGAATGTACAATTAATGGGACTGACAGGGACAACATTTGTAAATTCCCATTTTCAGCAGTTTAATATACAGAGCTCTATAAATACATGCTTCTTGATGGTTCTCTTTAACGTTCCTGTAAATTTTTTTGTCACTGACTGTGGGATGTCATAATATCTAGCCAGTAATATCAAGTAACTAGCAGGTGAGAATTTTATCCAGTGGAACATTGGATGGCTTATACTGCACTTTGCCGTTGTTTCATGACCGCTTGAACACACTTCGCCATGGTTAAAGACGCTCGCGATACTACGTCAGTCATAAAGAACTGATCTAACGTCTTATGTTTGATGTCCACAGGGTCTGATAAGAATGATCCTCCGGACTGTTGCTGTATATAACAAAATATATATTTGATATTGTTATCCTCATATTTAAAAAGTTTGTCTAATCAAGATACAAACCTTGGCTATCTCCAAAGCTTGCGTAAAGAAATTAGCTGGTTCGACATCGCCATATCTGACCAGATGAGGCGCGACCTCTTCGAGCCTGGATCTTACGTCGGTTAGATTGTCATAGGGCAAAGTAATTCCAGCCATCTATAACAATTTAACAAAAATATACAATTTTATGTCTTGATTAATTACTTAACGATCGGAATGTTTACACAAGATTTTTCTATGCGAATTTATTTACCTCGGAAAGAGCGCGAATGATTTTCCAATCTGGACGCGCTAAGCCAGGTGGTGTAAGTGCCGCGCACGTTTCTTGGGAGCGACCTTCAGTGTTAACGTAACTTGCGACTTTTTCGGTGTACGCTGCTCCAGCCAATACAACATCCGCAATGGCTGCTCCAGCATCACCGTGACTTCCTAGAAACACAAATGATGTTCGATGACATTAATTGACGATTTCATTAAAGTTATGGATAACTTGATATTTAAAGATAAATACGAGTACTATTAAGTTGTTACATATAATGTCCTTAGCATCATTATATCCGTACCTATATAAATGATGAATGTGTTTGGGAAATCTTCCTTCGTAATATTTGCATCGTCAGCACCCAAAAGGAACAGAACTTTCGGTTGTTGCCCCTTGATCTCTTCTACGGTTGAGCCGTAGCCAATATCTAAGGCGGCGACTTGAGATGCATTTGTATGCAATATGTTCAAGATCTTCCAATCCTGGGGAGCCTAAAGCAAAGTATATAATTAACAAAATTTCCATAAGATTATTATACAACAGTCGTTAGCAGTAGCTCACTTTTGAGTTATCTCCTAAAGCCTTAGTTAATTCTTGCGTTTCGTAGAGAATCTTAGCCCCGTCCTTTCGAGTTAGCTGATCAGCGCCCAAGATAACAAGTGGCTTCTTAGCCTCTTTCAAAGTCGCACAGAACGGATGCGAGCCGTTTCGCAATTTCGTTATTATATCGAAAGACTCTCCCAAGTGCTAAAAAAGCTACATTTTGTAAAATACTCTATGTATTGTTATCACAAAATAGATGAAAATCGAAACGGTACCTCGTGTTCATATGTTAAGTCTACGTCCGGGCCAATAAGAGCAACTGTTTGTTCACCGTGTAGATAGCCCTTTCTGAGACGAGTGTTTATTAGTGGTGCTTCATATCTTGGATTTGTGCCGATTAATACTACAACGTCCGCGTCTTCAACTGCGGCGATAGTGTTATTCAGAAGGTAGCTACTCCTGAGATCGATGCCCGAGCCGTCCTTCGGGAAGCATTGTTCCGTGGCTAGTCCCTCGCTGCCCAGTTTGTTCACTAAATCTTTCATAGCGATCAGGGCTTCCGCGTCCGTCAATTTTCCAGCAATTGCAGCGCACTTGTCCGCCGGCACATTCGCTAGAGATCTAGCAGCTAATCAGTATAAAAGACGTTACTGAACGATCTGATTACTAATGAGATATGATGGATCTCATAGAGATGCACACGCATAATAGATACTAATCAATTCTAACCAGCGATAAGTGCGTCCTCCCAATCCACAGCTTGCAATTTTCCATTGATCTTCATCATTGGCGTAATGAGTCTTTGCCTTTTGAGTCCATCGTACGAAAAACGGGCTTTGTCCGAAAGCCATTCCTCGTTCACCGCCTAGAAAAATTATATTATAGTAATATATAATAAAATCATGCTTTTTTTGTATTATTCGCTGCAAGTATATTAAAAGTATTTACCTCATTCACTCTTGGTAGTATTCTCAGGACCTCTCCAGTTCTGTGAGTGATAACTATATTGCTACCAACGGCATCGTGAACATCAATACTGTCAGTACGACGTGTCTCCCATGGACGAGCAACGAACGCATACGGCTTGCTAGTTAGCGCACCCACTGGACAGAGGTCGATGATATTGCCAGACAATTCTGACAAGAACATTTTCTCGACATATGTCCCCACCTTTAAAATCGTTATATAGCGATACAAATTTTTAAGAATAACGTCATTTAATAGAATATAAAGTATGTGATATTTAAATCTTTCCAGAAACTAGAATTCTCGTTACAGTCTCTTATATGACAAGAAATTAAAAGGAAATAATTAATAAGTAAGACTCTATTTTTAATCGACAACGTTTGGCTATCAGTGTCGTGACAATTCGACCATTGGTTTTGGTCGGATTAATCGTCAAGACGTTTCGACCATAGGTCTTGATCTTTTCTAAATTGACAAAACCCTCGGTCGAAACGTCTTGACGATTAATCCGATCAAAACCAATGGTCGAATTGTCACACTGATAGCCAAACATTGTCGATTAAAAATAGTCTTTCTCGTTAATCACTTATTGGCAGAACAAAAACATATATTTTTTGTGAAATTAATCTTTTTTCTTTCTTAACCAAAATATGCAATAAGAATGATTATATTTCAAATACATGTGAAATATAAAATTTACCTGCATATCATTGCCACGACCTGTGGTTCCCAAGTCGTCAATACCAGCTACTTCCGAAGCGAATCGAATGCACCTTGTGCAATGTATGCAGCGTGTCATAACTGTCTTAATTAACGGCCCCATGTCCTTGTCCTCCACTGCTCTTTTTCCGGAGAAGTTAATGTCGACGAACCTACTCCTGTCGGTTCCGAAAGCCATACTTTGATCCTGCAAGTCGCACTCGCCGCCCTGATCGCAGATTGGGCAGTCCAGCGGATGGTTAACCAACAGAAATTCCATAACACCCTCGCGGGCTTTCCGTGTCAGGTCGGAGTTGGTTTTCACTCTCCAACCTTTCATCACTGGCATAGCGCACGCAGCAACCGGCTATAAGATGGATTTAAAAGTACAGTCAATTTTAATTGTTGAGGCACCTTATCCTTTTGGCTGTCCCATTGTGTCGCGTACCTTGACTTGCTTCTCTATTTCAACAAGACACATCCTGCAATTTCCAGCTACGGCAAGACGTTCATGATAACAGAATCTTGGTATTTCAACTCCCACCTTGGCGGCGGCCTGAAAGAAAAATTTTCTCACATAAATATTACTATCCAGTTTTAGCGTAGGATGCTTAAAAAAAAATGTTGACACTTATATGGGAGTAACTTTTTTAAAGAAACAGAACTGATAACTTGAGAAATATCATAGTAACAAATTTTGTCTTCAAAGAGTCTCCACTTGTTTGCAATCATTTTGTCTTCATAACGAAGCTTACTTGCTTAGCCGTCTTGATTTTATTATTATATTTTTACAAAGCATATCTTAGCAGCTATAAAGAATAAAATACATCAAATACTGCAGAAGAAATCCATCGTTTTATAAGTGTGTAACGCAAAAGGAGTATGCATTAACGTGGAAAAATATTATAAAAAATTATGAACAATTCGACTAGTTGCACATCTCAGTGACATACGTTTTTGAAATGATGATCTTCGGTAAATTTGACAACCGAGATACTTTCAAAAACTATTAAATACACTTTCTAACGTTAACAACTATAACTATCTTTTCGATGAATTCTAGGTAAATTTCTTTCATGGAAATAACTGTCTATGCTGAGATCTTTCAATACTACTGAACCATGCCAAGCTTTCTCTACATTTATTTTTGCAAGTCCACGAATATATATTCATTTTGAGCTATGCGCTAATAAAAATGACAGGTGTCTTCTACAGTACAGCGTTTAATTCTCTTTATTCTGTCTCTTCTGTCTACTCGTTACAATATATCATATTTATATGACAGCCATGCCTATCTTTCAATTTCTTTACGTTTATTTTTACAAGTTCACCAATACGTACTTATTAATTTTAAACTATGTGCTGATAAAAATGATAAATCTCTTTTACAAGTACAGTGTTTAACTTGCTCATTCTGCCCACTCATCACAATATAACAGCTGTCTAATTTAAGTGATTTTCCAATCGTTAGCTCGTACATATATCTATATATGAGCTATAAAGATTCTGAAGTTCCATCGTGTTCCTCGCGAGAGGAGACGAGCGAGGAAGGAAAGGACGACGTGGAAAATACATTGACGCGAACCTGCAGGACCGTCGTTCCCGGTGGCACTTGCACAGGCTTGTCGTCGATGAAGACCTCGACCAGCTCCTGCTGCGACTTGCTGGACGTCGTGTGGAAACCGACGGCGCAGTGCCTTCCACCCGCCAGGCCGGTGGCCCGCGCGATCGGTAATCTCAACATCTCCGCCACGGGCTGAGCTAGTCGAAAACACCAGTTTATTATTATGTAATAAACAAACTTTGCCGCACGGTCAATGGCGAGTTAACCTAACTTGGACGACAGCTATAGGTAGAGCGAGACGTGTGTCTCCGTAAAAAAAGCGTTATCGCGCCACGACGAGTATCGCGACGACACCCTAGCGAGACATTTCGACGCGATCGTCGATTCGCCGAGCGTTTCACATGCAAAATTACGCGGTTAAATAAAGTTACCCACAGCTGTCCGCGATATGTACTGGATATTACCTTCTCCTGGATGTCAGAAACACCCGACAACCCGCACTGAGCTCATGATGAGCAATGGCGAGTTCGATTTGTGGTGGGACGCAGTTGCGTTGGTTACTTTCGCGTCACCGTGTACAGCCCACGGTCTTATGATCAATGATTTTGCGCACCGTAGGCAGAGAATATTTACAATATATACGTTCCGATACCGATGAGTTTGTTAAATTTCTTCTTCTTTTACATTTTTCGAACTTCGCGTTTTACGCTCCGGCCTTTAAATTATCCACTTCTACTGATGTAGGTTAACTTTAATCTCGGTTTAACTGGTACTTTTCATTTTCTTCTAGTTCTAAAGAAAAAGATAAAAAGTAAGTTAAATCGAGATTATAGAAATGGATATAGCGGTATTTACTCCGATTAAAAAAAAAAAAAAGTTTAAAAAAATATTATCGACCATTATTTAATCATAAATCATCAAAGAAGACAATAAAAATTAAGATGCAACGTTGCACAATATACACCCCACGCGAATATATTTGATAATTAAGTTAATTACCAGTTAATTATAAATCGGAGTAAATCGAAATCATATGTCCAACGGTAATCACGTGGTCGCGAAAGCGAGATATCGAGGAGAGGAGCGAGACGGAGGAAAAATATGGAGGTTCAGGTTCAGCGCGCAGTAGAAGAGGTACGGAGAGGTTAGGGATCGTCAAGTCAAGAGAGTGCGGAGAGTTCGGTGGGAATTCGCGCAGCCTACGCGTCAAAGACGAGAGAATTCATTTTCCGACATTGGGAGTCCCCGGAGGATCGCGGAACTTCGCGCTTCCGTCTCGCGTCGAGTGTCCTCGAGATCCAATTCCCGAGTAGGTCCCGTCACTCCCGTCTGGGCCCGTTGACCCGCCCGTGTTGACCTACCCTCAACGACTCTCGGCTGTGAATGATTGCGAGACAAATAACTATTGAATTTTATGGACGGACGCGTCTGCGATTAATTCGTCGACGAATATTCCTGTATTAGCTTTTCACATTGTATTCACTCGAGTTGCAGGACATGAGGTTGATTCGATAAAAATTGACACCCTGCGTGATAAGAGGTCCATCCAGAGGCATGTAAATAAGCGTCAGGTGATTGGAAGTATTGGAATATCGTTCCGTGCCATCTTGACTGCGTGGTTCCGCGAGACATCCACGATTCGTTATTATTTCGTTGCAACGTCGCGCGTAAGAAAGTTACTTTTGTTACGTAAACTCTGGGTGAATGAGGCCCAGTGTTTCACAAGTGTCGGTTAACTTTTAACCTTAGATTAATTCACTCTTCGTCTCCTTCTAACGTCCCCCCTTGGAAAGAGATAAAGAGTTAGCCTGCGATCCACTTGACGCTACAAATGCTTTGGAGCGTTCTTCTTCTCCTTTTTTCTTCATTGAAAGAAAAGAGAAGAGGAATGCTTCGAAGCATTTGTAGCGTCAAGTGGACCGCAGCCTTTAATCTAAGATTAAAAATTAACCGACACTTGTGAAACTGGGCCTAAGGTGTACATTGTCACATGTGACGAGCAATTTTCTTGGCTGGCATACTCCACTCCTTCAAAAGCGTTGCACATAACTAGCTACAATAAAAAGCACGACAATTGACAGTTTTTGGTCCACCTCTTTAGTCCTTCTATTGACAGATTCGAGTGGAGTATCTTGGCAGATTGGCATCAACCGTGTACTTGTATTAAGCTTCTGTTTCGTCGGTAAAACTTGCAGACATAATCTGACAGCAGTTTGCCAGGTGGAATTAAATAGAATTTGTCATTTTAATCATTTAAATGGAATATATCACTTAAGTGGCTACGAAATAGCAGATTCTCCTCAGTTTCCAGTCAACCTGCCATCATATTCTGTCAATAGATTTTACTGGCATTTTGCCAGTAAAATTTGTAGCAGACACTCCGCAAGATCTGTTTTTCGACAGATTTGCCCATCTGAGGTTTCATCCCTATTTGAGAAACAGAATTCTCTAGCTCGGAATAATAAAATCGTAACTGTCTAAAATTCATTATGTTTGTGTTTGATATTCTCATCAGTAGTTGTACTACAATAACATTGCCGCAATCGTGGGACGTACGAATCGAAAGAACGTAGGGTGATTTTTCCAAAATCCTGAATTTTCAAGTGTCTTTGGAATGTACAATGAATTGCTCAATGCACAACGGATTGATCGTGGTTTCCCTTTAACTTGAGTCAGCAGTTGTTACGAACTATGAGTCAGCAGTTGTTACGAAGTTATTTTAAGAACATAACATAACGTTGAGACCAATAATCAATTTTATTTGTTGAATTATATTGCAGCCGATTCAAGATGTCTGAAAAACTGCCGAGCAATCAACCGCAGCCCATTGTCAAGATAGGTCACTATACGTTGGGCCAGACTTTGGGCGTGGGTACATTTGGTAAAGTAAAAAGTACGTATATAACGCAAAGTCTTTCTTCATAGTTTATATTATTACTCTACTCAAAATGCTTATATATGCTTTCTGTGATACCGTTCATAGTTGGGGAACATGTTTTAACGAAACACAAAGTCGCCGTGAAGATTCTGAATCGCCAGAAAATCAAGAGTCTAGATGTCGTGGGTAAAATTCGCAGAGAGATACAAAATCTCAAGCTCTTCAGACATCCTCATATCATTAAGCTGTAAGTATTGATTAATCGTAGAATTTTAGTTCTGTTCATATGTAGTAATTCGTATTTATGAGTGGTCTATATTTTAGAAATAATAAAATAAATTTTGGAGAATTTAATTTTGGGAAGGGAGGGAGAAGCTTATGGTTCAAACAAGACATTGACGTACATACATGTTTATTTTCCATATTTGGCGTGTGTCTCCTTTTAAATAAATAGTATAATCCAAATCTTAATGTATGTTTCACGTAAACAGATATCAGGTCATAAGTACGCCGACAGATATATTCATGATAATGGAATACGTCTCGGGAGGAGAGCTGTTCGATTATATCGTTAAGCACGGCAAGCTTAAGGAATACGAAGCGCGACGATTTTTCCAACAGATCATATCGGGCGTCGATTATTGTCACCGGCATATGATAGTACATCGTGATTTAAAGCCAGAAAATCTTCTGTTAGATCACAATCTTCATGTGAAAATTGCGGACTTCGGTACTTTGGATATAATTGGCATAAATCGACACGCCCGTTACATGTAGATGATAAAAATGTTCTACGAAAATGTAGGTCTGTCGAACATGATGATGGACGGCGAGTTCTTGCGTACCTCGTGCGGCTCACCGAATTACGCTGCGCCAGAAGTGATATCCGGTAAATTGTATGCCGGTCCCGAAGTCGATATTTGGTCATGCGGCGTTATATTGTACGCGCTACTCTGTGGTACCTTGCCATTCGACGACGAGCACGTTCCTACTCTATTCCGCAAAATTAAATGTATGTTGTCCTTCTCAAAAAGAAACGCCAGCTGACGCGCTGGATATTTTCACAAATAGGCATCTTAAGCGGCGGCAACTAATTAGAATTTTCTTTAATTTTAGCCGGTGTCTTTCCTATCCCAGAATACTTGAACAAGAGTGTTGTTAGTCTCTTATGCCACATGTTACAAGTGGATCCAATGAAGAGAGCGACCATTGAGGATATCAAGTATGTTGAATGATACATTTTTTTCAGAATATATTCGATTAACACTGCTATCGTTATGCTTAACGCGTATATTTTTCAAATTTCAGAAAACACGAGTGGTTCCAAAAGGATTTACCGTCGTACTTGTTTCCCTCACCTGTCGAGCAAGATTCATCTGTTATCGATATAGATGCCGTGAACGAAGTGTGTGAGAAGTTTAATGTGAAAGAGCCGGAAGTGCATTCCGCGCTGTTGGGCGGCGATCCGCACGATCAACTGGCGATCGCCTATCACTTGATCATAGACAATAAGAGAATCGCGGATGAAGCCGCCAAGGCAGAATTAAAAGACTTTTATGTGGCGTCTAGCCCTCCGCCCGTAGCGTTCAGCCCAAACGAGACAAACAGCAGTCCACTGAGGCCTCATCCAGAAAGAATTGCACGTATGTAAAAAATATGAATGAAACAAATACGACCTATATTAATTCTTAACAGGCCCCTCTCTTCCCCTGTGCTCCACCTAGGAATTAATCTGTAGAGATTATTAGAAAAATATCTTAGCTGTTCTCTGTACGTGACTATACGTGTAATGATGATGTTACAGCATACCGCGAACGTCAAGGTTCGCAAGGTAGCGCACCTGCGCAGATGCAAGGCAATCGCGGTACGCCTGTGAAGAGAGCGAAATGGCACTTGGGAATTAGATCGCAATCCAAACCCAACGACATTATGAATGAAGTTTATCGTGCTATGAAAGCGCTTAATTTTGTAAGATCATTGAATTGCTAAAATCCTATACAGTTTGATTGTTTAAACGTGACATCGCGCGAATTGTCTTTTTCAGGAATGGAAAATCATAAACACATACAGCGTTAGAGTAAGAGATAAAAACAACTTGACCGACAGATATAGCAAGATGTCATTACAATTATATCAAGTCGACCATAAGAGTTATTTATTAGACTTCAAATCTTTGTCCAGCGAAGAAGAGGACATTGGACGAGGTAAATCAAGTCTTTTAATATATATCTAACTTACTGATTAAATACATAATTTACGTATATAAAAAAAATATATATATTTTTTAGATCCGACATTGCCGCCTCCGCAAGCAACGGGTCATCACACAATGGAATTTTTCGAAATGTGTGCAGCATTAATTACGCAATTAGCACGATAGCGTGCCTGCTTCTTTTTTAAAAGTTGCATTAAATCCTGTTATATATTGTGCTTTTAAAAGTGTATAGTTTGAAATAAATGCAGGTGTTGTAAGACACATTATATATAAAGTCTTGCCTCTTACAAATTAATTTTGAATAAAGGCTATATTTTTCGAGCTTCGATTTATTTTTCAATTCTGAAAATGTGATCGTGCGAAAGCATGCATTTCTGACAACAATGTATAGTTGTAGAAATTAATGAACAGCGATATCTACATACGTAATCATTTATTATCGAGTGCTATAATTGAACGTTACATTATTACAATCTATTATAAATTACAACACAAATATATATTTGTCTAAATGATTATTAATCTTATCGTTTATTATCGTATTTTATTTATGAAATCGGTTCACTATTAGAAAAACCAAAAAATATGCGCATACGCTTATAGAAAAATATACATTACTATATCCATATTTAAATTTGTTTCATTTCTATGTCATACATACAAATGAATTTCCTTTGATGAGTCATGCATGTGAAAATGTGAATCCAAATAGTTTATATTATATCGTGATTTTGCTTTCTTATTGATGAAATAATAGAAGTTCCTCAAATTAATATACATAACAATCAAGTAACTGTCGTGTGAAAATATACGTATGTAAATTACTTAAACATTTAAACATTTGTATGTTGATATCACTATATGCTGAAATTCATTTAAGCACCATCTGTCATTGGAATATTGGTAATTAAAGATAAAATATACATAATGGCACATTCCAAAACTTTGTCTCATCTTATATAAATACATGGTCGATTCTCGTAATGCTGCCAAAGAAACTGCCTATTATCTGTTGTTCAGCTTGCCTTACTTCACATATCAAAAAATTGACAAAAAATATATGTATAAATTGGACCATTTTTTTATTTTATCGTATTTTAAACATTAAACGGAAGAGAATCTTGCCTAAACGCATTTATTGATATGGAATACTACCAGTTTTATTAATCTTAATACTGCGCACAATTTTAGGAAGATTACGGAGAACTTATGCAACTTGTGACTACAATGATGACGATGATGATAACGACGATGATGGAAATGTCAAATGCACGTAGTAAATTAAAAAAAAAAAAATCCGAGTGATGGAATATATTACGCATCATTATCTAAAATCATATTGCGAAAATATAATAAAACGATGAATATAATCGATAGTCCAAGTTTGCCTTATTTTTTAAATAGCACGTATTACACAATGTATGAGAATTTATTGTATAATCCCGATATAAGATGGTTTCACCATATTATTTCAATAGCAGTACAATAGTTGATAATTTTATAATTTGTTCCCAATGAAAATTTCATTGAAAACGCAATATTCATTTAAGAATCTGCTATTAAAATAATTCTCAATAATCAAAGTATCCTGCATAAACCATGAACAACTTTTTGATACAATTAACCTTTCCATCATTATATATAAATACAACTTTCTAGCACAATGTGTTGCTCCAAATTGGTGGCACAACCTATGGCTAACAGGTATTTTATGTACCATGACATCGAGGTTTTATAGCCTGTAGAACAACTGTACTTCTTTCGAAATATTTCAAAATGCCTCGGATAATTTCTTTTAGAAGTGTTAATAATAATAAAATGAAGTAATGTCAAGCAAGTATATATACAGTATGCTTTTATCATAGTCACTTATGACTAGAAGACATTATGGTATATTCGGTGCAGAATATACTATTCCACAACTTTAGGAATATAACTGTAGCATTTGCTAATAAAACATTTTAATGAGCACACACATACTTTTTTCCCCATTGTAATATTTATAAATAAAAAAGTGATAAATTACATTTATCAATAATCTTCTATAAAATCAACAAATCCATGATGAGAGGTCGTTAAGTGTAGATGAAGAACTGTGCGTGTACCGAACCATTCATCTCGAGCACTAATAAATTTCTAAATAAACAATAAAAACTTATACATACGTGAATGTTAAACTAGTGCGCTATATTAATATCTATATAAGAAAAATGTGGAGTATCATATATGTAACATGGTAGCTACATATATAAATATAACTGTAAATTAAAACCATTTAATATGTATCAGAGTATATATATCTTATAAATACTGTGCTTTTTATACAAAAATCATTTTGTTCACTTATTTCTGAAACATGGTTTTAATTTTTCATAAAATAAAATTGTATCAATATATACGATTAATACGTATTACATCTAAGAATAACTTTATAAAATTATGCTTGTGCTTTGGGCAATTAGCAATGTATAATATAAAATGATGAATTGACGCGTGACTAAATTAACATACTGCAGAGATACTAACGCAAATCTCTAAACATTTCCTTACGTTTCAACATATTGCACAAAAATCTAGGATTCGTTCTCGTAGTATATTACATGCAGCAATGTAGAATGTACAGTTGTTCAGACTTAGGCGTAAACACATCTTTGAAATGGCACATATAATAGACGTTATTAGTAATCCTAAATTTTGATAATATAGGAGGTGTCTCTCTTCCCTTTGTGTCGCACACGCGGCGCCCATCACACTCGGAGAATTTCTGTTAAATCTCCTGATTGTCTTCACCAGTCTCATTATCTACAAACTCCACGTGCGTAAATGGGAAGTGCCCGACCTTGCCGTGCAATTCACCTTCCCACTGGCCATTGATATTAGTCTTTGTCACTTTTATCATATCACCTACTTCTAATTTTAGCGCGGTTTTATCGTACGCGTTCGGCACCCTCGCCTGTTTCACTTTGGCAAAGGCCGGCAGTGTTCTCTGAATGTTCGATCTTCGCGTTACGGTCGCCTGTCCCGTCGTTTCCGCATGAGACACCTGCGACGTAGGCCCCGAATTCGAATTGGAGCCGGAGCTGCCGCCGCTCTCAGGCCGCGAGTTATTCTCTATTATCATATGACTATCGTCGTCGTACTTCTGAACGTACGGCACCGGTATCGAGCCAGTTTGGCCGACACTGTTTCTAGCTGTCCACCACTGTTCCTCATCTTTCGATATTACAGTGAGTATATCACCTGCGTAACAAGCGCTTCATTAATACGACTATATAAAAAAAAAAGAAGGGAACTAGAATCGAGGAAATCAAATATGTACCTTTCCTAAAGGGTAAGTCCTCGGAATCGTTGCCTTCGAAATCGTACTTTGCAATTACCCTCTGCGTTTTCTTTGGCGCTGGCCTGATTAGGGGCGTAGTATCTAAGTAGTGAAGCTTATAAAAGGCGAGAAGACTTGGAATATCTGGAAACATCTGATCCCCAATCCGATAACGAATCTGATCTCCCTGCTGGATCTTATTGATGATGTAGTGGCTAACTTTGCTGTCCTCCCTCACGCACAGCACAAAGTCGCCGTGTATGGAGGTGCTGTCTCGTACTAAAAATACACCACCTTCCTTCTCACCCATCAATAAGTCAGACGCATCCTGTCGTGACATAGCGCCAAAGTACCAGCTAAAAAAAAAGAATCAAGCGGTTAATACAATGCAGATAATTCTTCATAAAAAATTACATACGTTTCGCTCAAGAGTGCCAAGGGAAATAGTAAATTTCTCTCACAAACGGAAAAACGTAAAACAAAAACTCAACACTGTCTCCAAGTATTAAAATTAAGCAACCAAAAACACTTTCTTCATTTCTTTCTAGAATAAAAATAAAAAAGAAAGAGAGGAGGCAGATCTTAATTAACTTTAATTAATGTTTAACGTAAGAGTGTCTATAACGTTAAAAGTTGAGTGCCTGCATAAAATCAATCTGACCGAAACACCCGAGGAACACCCGAGAAACTTTCGTATCGCACTGGACCAAAAGACGGGGATCTATCCAGTGCTCCGAGATCCAAGCACTAATCGCGAGAACAATCGCACGGTTTTTGCCGCGACCAGCCGGTTACGTGACGCGGCGGCGGCGATCGCACGCAATTTCAAACGCCATTACGCCAATAACACTTAATGCGGGCACGGACACTCGGCGCTCCCGATGAATCAAAACATGGGAATTCTCCCGCACGCACCTCGACTTGTCATACTGATCGAAGGTCGCAGCCATTGTCGCGCCGATCGGGGGTTGGCGGAGGGGAGGTCCAGGAGCGAGAGACGGCAGCCTCTTCCTTCGTCAATTGTCAATTAATATATATCACGGGGCACGTCCGACCGGGTGGAGGGAAAGAGAGAGAGGAACTCGGCCGAGCTCCCGCATAGTAAAGGGGGGCACGGCGAAACGCTCGCGCGAGCCACCGCGCCGCGGGCCGGATCCGCGGGGATCTGTGCGAATCCACGGGGTGAACACTCTCCGTCGGCCACGCCGAGAAACCGCGACGCGCCCGTATTTCCTCCGGCGGGGCGGGGCGGGGAGGGGGGCGGACCCTCGGGAACGCGGAATCACTTTTTTCACCGGCGACACTGGCCGTGAGGAAACTATCACTCCGCCGTCGGACGTTCCCTGAGCGGCGCGGTCTCGCGGGAGCAGCGGGCCGTCGGCGACATGTCGGCGAAGATCCGCGCGTAGTTTACGTCCGCGGGCGTTTCGATCGACGAAACGAATCAAACTTCCCTTCTCCGTCCGTCTCTCACGTTTTAGGACCCCGCCGTCGCGAAACCGCCACGTGGTGCTCGGTAACGTCGGCACGACGTTCACTCGCCGCGCGAAGGACCCGTGAAGCGAACGGCGAACTCACAAAAATGGTCGCCGAGCGTAATAATACGACATTCGTCCTATTAAGGGCGATTCGCAATGCGCCGCCCGCCGCCGCGCGTGTTTTCCTCAGTGACGATCCGCATCGCGCGAGATGCGGCGTGCGGCGAAAGTCGACGAAAGTGGGCCGAAAGAGTGAGTGCAAGCACGGCGCCGCTGATTGGTCAAATTTCAATCCAATCCGTGGTTTGATAAAGTTCTGTAATTCACGATCGCTCCGAGAGAGGTCTTCACCGTCTTTCCTGCGCTCTGCCCGTTGAATGTTTGGAATAGTTTGAATGTGTTGTTGTTCGAGTTACAATCGGGCTTGAATGTTTTTTTTGACAGCTTTTATTTCGCGTCTTTCTCAAGTTTCCGCGCCGATCGAGAGAACGTGTCGCGAATGAGCGACTGGCGCGTCGCGTACCGCATGATCAATATTAATGGACGCAACTTTATCGTCGCTCGCGCTGCGGGAAAGTGTCTCTGTTGGCCAAAGAATGGCTGTCAGCGCGTCCTTCCATCGAAACGTTTTTTTATTGAATCAGTTGGTCCCGCCGGATCATGACTTCCAAAAAGTCTTCCGCGAGGTAAACACCTTTACTTCTCTCTGTTGATTTATTTTCTCTGTCGTCATCTCTATCTCTTTTTGGCCGATTTACTTTCGGAACTTATTTTCCATACACGTCACTTTCCTCGGCTTTTACCGGTAACGATATGATGCAGCGAAGATTTGTGTGTTGCAGGGAATGTTCGACAGGCCGAATACCGCGGGATTTATATATGTCTCGCATTATCTGCTGACGATATACGACTCGGAACGTTTTAAAAAGTTAGTCGAATGGCCGGTAATTTGCAAGAAGACCGAGAACCAGTATCGCAATAATGTCAAAGACTATTTGAACGTCATTGCGTTGAACAATCCCGACATAGGACTCCCACGCGTGGTCACTACGAATTTGTTTCACGCAAGTGGTACCAAGTTTATGTCTATAATGTGGAAACTGTCGCAGCTTGTGCTGAGGACGTATATTAAGCGAGACGGTAGGTATCCAAGAGACGAAATGTTAATAGCTCAAATAGTGGAATCTGTCGAGAACAAATCTTCAAAGTGGCTGCTGCCAATTTTGTTGATAGAACGCTAGTAGAAATATTCGCAATCTGCTAACAAAATACAATAGATTGACTGCAGAAATGGAGCAAAATCTGTTTCACTTGAATGATTTGTTTAAATATGTATTTAAATAATGTATTCCGTTTAAATGTATATGAAATAACAGATTCTGCTCGGTTTCTGTCAACAATCTACTGTCAGATTATTGATAAGCTCTACCGGCAAAATGTGAACATATAATGCCAGACCTGTTACAGTATTTAAGCAAATTTGCTGCCAATCCATTGTCGTACTGCGGACAGTTTGCTTACTGGGAGTTTATACTAAATATTAGTGGTTTGTCAACAGATACAAGCAGAACATCATGGCAGATTGACATCAACATGAAACTTACGTTCCACCAAAGTTTGTTGACATAATCTGATAATAGATTGTCAGCAGAAACCAAGTGGAATTTATTTTGCAATGATATATTCCAATTTTTTACTCTAAATTCTGCTTGGTTTTTATAATTGATCTGCCATCCTATCCTGTTAACAAATTCTTTTATATTTCTGCTGATGATATTTGTAACAAACACTTTGCAAAATCTACTTTTAACAGATTTCGCCTATTTGTATTGATATTGCTTGTATAATTTTTTATATTTTTATACGCAAATAAAATTCTGGTCATAATATATCCAGTTATTACCTATTGTTTCAGGTGCATACGACGTTATATTTACACCAAAGCCAGGTCTTGCAAGTGACTTAGTTAAAACGTACCTACAGCAGTCCAAGGCAAATGTCACTTGCGACACATTGAGTCGTCTTCGGAATTGCGTACAAATGGAAAAAGCTGCAAATTTCACATTGGCGTAATACTTTTAAAACTCCTCTTGATGTAGTAAGATACAACTAAGATTAAGATCTACTACAAATTTTCTAAATTCTTTTATTCCTCCTTTAGAGAGGAGAGAGAACATCTGGCTAAAATTAAAGAAGAATTGTTCAACAAAAAACAATCTGTGGCAAAACATGTGTCTGCAGCACCTGTTGGCGAATCTATAAAGCAATGTTTGACGAATGTCGAAGCTACAGAGATCCTATCAAGTTAGAATCATTTTTTTAAATATTTATTTTTATGTTATATATTATTTTATTTTATATTATATTATTTGTTATATTTATTTTTAATATATAATTCTTGTGTCGAGAATCTTTCACGTTGTACGCACGAAACTAATGACCGCACATGGGTTTTAGTGTGGAAAAATAGTTTAAACGAAAATATACAATACATACGAAAATGGAACGCGTCATTGAAGGATCTAGAAAGAGTGTGCGAGAACATAAGTGGCATAATATCGAACCTATTGAACGATGCAAAAGCACTGGATGGCATGCAGCTGGAAAAAGTCGATTATTCACTGATATCGGAATCGTTTCCACCTGACATTCGGGTAAAGTTGAATATTAAATGAGTATTGTAAATGTGTAAATGTATAATTTTATGTTTTTTTCTTTAGCATTATCTTTATCTTTATCTAAACTTGTATAATGATGACAAATTGGTATATCACAATTTCATTGGTCTGCTCACTTTGGTACTAAATAAAATATATCAATGGTTAACGAGAGGAGCCTTAGTAGACCTATCGCAGTGCCTCTTGCAAGTGAAGGCGAGTGCAGAAGACATGAAATCCATGTGCGATGTATTCAAAATTTTCTTGGCAAGCATGATAAGTTCCACGGAGGAGACGCAAAGTGTTTTATGCGCGAAAAGTATAGAGCGCATACCCGAAGAAAATATGTTACCCTTCGTAAAAAGCGTACTCCTTATGCCCTCGCCTATTATCAAAATTAATACTAATTGCGCGAACGAAAGAAATGATACACAATTATTGCAGTTTACTCCGGGTGAAAGTAAGTTCGAGATCTGAGAAACAACTGTAGATTATAATGTTTTAAATGATCGTTATCGTAATTAATATGTTATTCGTTCTTTTACAGTTACACATAAATCATTATTTTCGAGATACATACGGCACAATCAGAATCACACGCCAGATTTAAAAACGAAATTCGTATCGCGCATCAACATCGACACCATATCAACGGCCAATAATGAAAAACAAGGATTGAATCCTCGTTTTATGACACCTAAAGTGAAACAGTTCTGTAAGAGAAGAACAGGAAAATACTCCCGATTATTCACATGCGCGAATAAAAATATAAAAGGTATGTAGAAATCCTGTTCATGATAATACTGTTATTGAATTTTTTATAATTACATCAAGAAAAACAATATGAAAGGATAATAACTAAAAAGTTCCTAAAACTAGACAATGATTATTTTATGACGAAGGAAATGAAATGAATTAAACAACATACTGTTGAAGAAATCTCATTATTGATCCTCTTTTATTTATACTTCTTTAAATTCGTAAACACATTCTTTTTGCGTTGTGTGCTAATAATGATTGAGTTCTGGGTGCAGGTCTCTGCAGAGTAGTGCAGAGTAGAATTGAATTAATTTATTTAATTTTGTCATTATATATAAAATATCTATTTCAAGAAAGTTCAACAACTTTCTGATTGTCACCCTGGTATATATCAATAAAATTCAAGTTATATTCATATACTTACAGTAATATTTATTTATGTAGCCAATTCTAGCATGATGTCTCTGCCATCTACCGCGCTAGCCAATTCTACCATTGCAAATACAATAGAAGAAGCGTCCAGTTCATCGGATCTTAATTTAGGCACCATAGCAGAGGGTTTTTTCAATTGGAGCGGAGAGCCTCTCAAAGCTTCTTCCTCATCTGTACAATTTACTCCGATAAAACGAAACGTCTCACAAGTTATGCCTCGACGACGAGTGAAAGATAAACTCGATCGCGAAATCAAAGTAAACAAACCAGAGTTTGACGAATTTACAGAGATACAGTTTATAAATGATGGGAGCAAGGGCATAGTTGAAAAACATGAAAACGGTTCGAAAAGGCGGTCCATTAGTGACTTGGTGGAACGTTACAAAAACTTAGTGGAAGCTGTCAATTCTGTAAAGTTAGAAAATGAATGCGCAGAAGATGAAGTTAAATAACGAAAAAGAAAAGGAAACGAAAATCTTTTTCATCTGTAAATTTTTCGAAGCGCAAGATTTATCAATAATTTCCATCATTAATAAATAATAGAAAATACTAGTTGAGAGTTCACTTAGTTTATTAGTTATTCATTAAAATCCTATGAATAACAAATGTAAAATTTGACATCTAACGTACAATATTTCATACGAATAATTCTGTATATTTATGTGAAAATGCGTGATATGTTTTGTTTCTTTAAAAAATAGCTCGTTCTCTAGAATAAGATGTCAATAAGAGACAATACAAAAGTAATAACAAGTTCGTTTTCTTAAAGATCTGTAACAGACACTGAAAACTTGCATAACGAAAGATTAAAGATTTCGATATGCTTAGGCGCTATAATAGTATGTTCTTCTAAAAAAAGAAAGAAAAAAAAAGACACGAGGTGGTACTAACATTTTCTATTTCGTGTAGTGGAACTTACTGTATAGTTTTTATAACATATTTATATGTATTTATATATTATATAGTTGTAGTCATGAAACATAATATTATCATGGTACAGACTAACATATATTGTTACAAAGTAATTTTATATAAAACTTTAAAAATGGTCTTCTGTACAAATGATATATTTTCGCCTTCTTTATCTGATTTCTCGTATCAGTGCGGTTTAGATAATGGCATATTTTATCTTATATATAAATTTAAAAACACTTTTTGCCTATCGTTTATACATTAATTGAATATTTTTTCCTCGAGATTCTCGGTATATCAATTCTAATAAACTAGTTAAATCTTTTGGTTACTATTGCCGTCCAAAAGATAAATGTGTTGTTTACTATTTCATCAAATAACACTCTTAAATTTATAATGATACAACAAGTTTATTCACAGATATCATGTTTGTGGACTGCTACGTATTTACTTGTAACGTATTCGCAATAATAGGTAGAAAGAAATGTATACATCAAAAATGAGTTTTTACATTCCGAATTCTATGTTGCATTAAATGTTACATCGTTTATTTATATATGATATTGATCAATAATGTAAAAAGGCACAATGGTGGCATATATTCTTTCTTTATATACGTACATTGATGAATAATGATGAAAAAGGTTTCAGAAACAGAATCTAATTATAATTAGTCGTTATATGTAATAACTTGTATCGATCGTTATTTAATTGTATGAACCAATTACAAAGCTTTATTAATTTCTAACTGTGCATTTCTGATTCTTTAAAAAAAATATTGGTACTTTTGTTTTCTTCAGTCATCTATACATTTTTACTATTTCTTATTTTGCGTTAATAAAATGCAAGATTTTTATTGCTAAAAATTGCAGATGTGTAAATTAGATATATGTATAATGATAACGTGTTTGTGAATTTTGGCGGAATTTCACGTCATACGTAATCATCTTTCTTTCCAATCTTCCTTCTAATGTATTGTTTAGAAATATTTCTCGAATTATATTTCTATAAACTTTTCCTATTACTGATAATATAATTCAATATTGATTTTTAAAAATAATTTTTTGTAGAATTTTCGTATCTCTTTTGTATCTCGTTCGGTATGATAAACAGTCATTTTCATCGGCCAAGCGTGGAATAGAATTTAGGCTGCAAGAAAAAAGGAAAATTCTCATTACATATAATACATTATTAGTTTTACAGTATGTGTATGTATAAATATACTACATAACATATTAAAAATGTAAGATCTCATAATACTAACATTTCTATAATAGCGAACGAATAATATATAAGAACAACAATAATTTGTAATAGACAAAAAAATAAACACATTTTGTTATAAACTTTCGGACAAATGACATACATATATGGATAAATTACATGACCATTTGTTTTATATCCAAAATAAGAAAAACAATTCTTAATTACCTCATCGTGATTCTCCTCCTTATTTCCGTCATCCTCGTCTCCAGAGCTGTCCCCTCCTGAACTATCAGCGGAATTATTACGTTGCGGGTCTTTGTTATTTAAGCCATCCCCGGCAGTCGTGGGTATAGCTTTGATTTTACTAGCAGCATCGTAACATTGTAAACAGACCCTGACAGCTTTACCATTTCCTTGCCCAGGCAATAATAATTTTTTATTACTGCATGGACCACAAACTACCGCTCCGCATTGCCTACAGTGGTGCTGAAATGAAAAGTAGTTGGTTCGGTTCAGTCTTTCAACAATTATCCGAATTCATTAAATTAATATAAAAATGTTCGGTTCTATCATTACCCGTCTGTTTAATACTGTGAACTGTGTTTTATTGCAGTGCATGCAAATTGTGGCTTCATTATCTGGCACCCAAACTGCTGCGTGGACTTCGACAGGTTTTTTGCCACCTAAAAAATATAGAAAAATAAAAAAGATTAAATTGAAGTCTTATATTCGCAGGATTTGGAGTCACTCATCGTCTTGGAAAATATGCATATTTGTAACAAGTGAAGTCCTTACTTACTTTTTCTTAACAAATCTTCGATACATTTTGTGATATGTGCCATCCATTCTTGCTTTTCTGTTGGAGTAGCAGCATAAACAGCAAACGACTTTGTTACTGTCTTAATGAGCCATCCATTACGATATTCTATAAATAATGATCCAATACTATACTAACATTTTCTAGATATAAACACGTATGATCTCATTTGATTATTGATCTATATATTAACTTGATTGAAAAAAAAACTCTATAGTAAGTGCACCATTATTTCTCTCAAAAACACAACTGAAAATGTGCATATCTAAAGTCTCATTTATTTTTTGGAAAGAAATCATCTCGTGGGAAAGTTTCCTCCGATTTCTAGCAAAACATGTTAACATTAATATTCATGGATTTCTTTGCACGTACTTTTGAAATCTTCCTTCTAAAGGTTTTTCAAAGTATTCCAATTTCTTTTAAAGTATTTCCAAAGTATACGTAACATGTATGGAATAAACACAGAGGTTGCAGTGCGCATATAAGTGTATTAAACAATATAATGTACTTACGACCCTCGTCCGCTAAAGACTCTAACTTTACCTCCTCCAATGGTATTATATGCTGCTTGTTGTACTATAAACAAATCATTTTCATTATCATCAACATTACTATTGTCCCTATTATCATTTTGTGTTGCTTGTTACATATAGAATTCACTCTGTACGTCATAAGCTTTATCTGTGAAAGATAAATACTTCTTCAACGTACCTTTTTCTTATTAATCACGATATTGCCATAGACCAATATGTCGTTGAACAGGAAGAACTGTCTAGGCTTGGGCTTCTTCCTGCACATTTTCGTCAAGACTCCTTCACCCACCAGGACTCGGCCGGGTACCGCGAGCGGCTGTGAAAAGAATATCCATCAGTGAGTCGTCACTACAATTAGCTACAAGCTTCTTCTTCCGAGCACAAGATCTGGCGCTTGATTCCCCAAATCGGGAATCGATACAGCCATTGATAACCAATGTCAAAGTCATTAGGAAAGTATAAATAAAGGATGATGCAACACTAATCAGATACAAATTACGAGGTGCAAAGTTAGAAACGTTTCCGAGTGTGTGTAATATTTCACTGTGTGTCCACAGTGTTGAATTTGAGTCTGTAAATTTACTAAGCTCTCGAACGACTGTGCGGATCAATCTTTTCTGCAGGTGTCAGATCTATAAACATTTGAGAAACTTGTGCGGAGTAAACTTCACTGGCACGGATCTCTCTTACCTGACCCGATCCGCCGAAGCAGTTTTCGACCATCGCGATACGCCTGGCATTGGCCTCGCTGTTTACTGAAACAGAAACCTCCCCGAGGACGGGGAGGGGAAAGATTAACGCGAGAGCACATTCCGAGTGTCTCACGCTCGTAACACACCCACGTCCTCGAGCGAAAACGTCCGAGGCTCGTCCTTTCTAGCTGCACCTCTCACACCCCCGTCGAAATTCCATCTCTCTCTCTCGCGCGCGTCGACGTCGACGTCGACGTCGTCACGGTTTCACGCGTGGAAAGAACGTTTCCGAGAGAAACAAGGGGTGGAAGGAGCGTGCGACTAAACGAAACGGGATTATACTGTCCCAGAACTGTCGGGAGCTGTCAAAAGCACACGGCCCATCGAACACGGGGGAGGGAGCGCCCGACAGCCTCCGTGGACCGTTATCCCCGCGCGCGTAATCGCGCGAGAACGAGGGGGCCGCGCGCCACGGGGTCCGCCCGTTCGCGACCGCGGGACGCGCGTGGCCCTCCCCCGAGTCACCCGGACCCGCCCGGGCGGCCTCGCCTTTTCGCGGGACGCGCGATATTAATTAAATGCCAGTAAAACGAAGCACGAACTAACCCAATCGGTCGACCATGATCCCATGAATCAGGGTTGACAACAGCAGGAAGCGTGAATCACGTCCCCAATACGTGAGCCCCGCCGAGCCCCGCCGTGATGTGCGTTGCGTCGGTGGTTCGGTGCCGTCGGCGATGGTCGGCGAGCCCGCTGATTTCACTATTTATCCCACTCTTTCCGATCGGAGGAATTCGGCTCGGTTCGTCGACGTCCAGCTGTTTGCGACGTGCGTAGTGCGTACGATCGAGACTATCGAGAGAGTCGATGAGAGTTAAATGCCGATAAATGTACCGTTCTATCGTACACATGAAGTTAGGCCTGTTCGTTTTTTAACTGAACTTGTTGGCAAAGTTCATCTTTTCTCTTTATCTCTCCAACGTGAAAAGAAAAAAGGAAAGATGAACTGTGCAAGAAGTTCAGTTAAAAAACGAACAGGCCTTTTGGCTATACTCGCGCCGAGTTTCGATATCGATAAATATCGATATCACTGGCGCTCGAGGCGAACTATCGAGATCGCTGAACGTCACATGATTACAAAAACCTTCATCGCGGTGAATGATCACGACGGGCGATCGGCCGAGGGTGTTAAGCGGCGCCTGGGACACCTCCGTTCACGTTCACGGCTAATTACTGCTGATCGCCGAGCGTCCGCGGGCGAAACAACGGACAGGCCGCAGCTTGGTTAGATTCGGCCACCCCGTGCGGACAATTTCGGTCAGGATGAAGGTCTGCGGGCCCAAGTACGCCCTGTGCGGCTTAGTGCTGTCCGTTTGGGGCATATTCCAACTGGTGAGAGATAAATCGCGCTTCTGCAGGTGTATTTGTATATCCAGGGATGAAAATTTCTGGAGTACGCTACCCAGTCGAGTTTGTCGAAAATCATATTTCGCTGAACCTTCGCCAGAAATTTTGTCGTTGGAACGCCAGTAGAATTGTAACAGAATTTGACAATAGCTGATTGCCAACAGAAATCGAACGGAAAATGTCTTTTTAAATGTCTTTAACATTCGAATGATGCGTTCCATTTGAACGGTTATAAAATGACATTCTGCTCGGTTTCTGTTGGCAATCAGCTGTTGGATTATGTCGGCAAGCTCTATTGGCAGAACGCGAGCTTAATGCTGACGCGGTTAACGTCAATCTACTACAATATGATGAAATCTATTGGTAACCCGCTGGTGTAGAGCTAACATTTTGTTTACCGGATTTTTCTCACCCTCAGCTTTTCATGGGAATATTTTTCTACGTCCGGAGCGTAGCACTGGTGGAGGATCTCCCGGGAGTGAAAAACTTCACCTCGATTGACGAGTTCTACAAAGTGGTGGACCGAGGTTACACGCAGAACGCGTACAACTGCTGGATCGCCGCGTGCATCTACGTCCTCACCTTCCTCTTCTCTGGCCATCAGTTCTATCTCAATTCCAGATCGTCTCTTAGCGTATAAGTAAAATAATGAAGATGTTACACAATAATGACGCGCTACCGCGGGTCCGATTTGTAATAATGTACATCTAGAAAAATGCAGCTTTCAAGTTAACTTCAAAAGCTGAATTATATACAGTTATCCTATAATCGAGTTGTTATCCGAGCACAATGTAACCCAGATGGAATGTCTGTGTTCCAAGTGTTCGTACGCAAGTGCAGAAGAAGGTATTTTTTGCCACCTATGTGTATATTATTCCATATTTCCATGTCTCAGTACATTATATATATATCGATATAGCTGGAGAAGCAGCATAAATACAAAAAAAAGGGAGATTATGTAATTCGCAGTGGTCTTGCTATGTCAGAATTTATTTTATTCGTCGGTAGTGATATATATTTTAGTCATCGGGTTTAAATCCCGCCTATACTGTTACATATATTGTTAATATGATTTAATAAACTAATCGTAGACTACACAGTAGCGTTTAATTCTTTCGACTAGATAAGTTGGATTACGTTGCAACATGTTAATTTAAAGTTCTGTTTTTTACCCTAGAGAAAAAAGAGAATGCAATACTGGAAAACATTCATTAATATTCGAAAACATAAATTTGTAATTCGTTGAAGCTTCGTCTGCGCTTATTTTTTGCAATCTGCATGCTTCATCCGGTCTTTCTTGCTTTGAAGTTTCAGGCGAGATATTTTAGTGTTATCATATCCTGGCAAATCCGAAAACGCTGTGTCTTAAAACGGAATTTATAAATCGAAAGAGAAACGCAGGTGAAACGCGATCCTTTGATTACACTATCGTCCGTCCGCGAGGCGTGTGAGACCTGTGAGAATGAGTCACATCGTCACATGGCTGCTCACCGCTCCTCTCGTCGAACCGTCGAAGTAATCGAAGCGAAATGAGGTCACAGACAGGTACAGAGCGGCACAACATGACGCTCGGGAGAGAGATTTGACAGGTTAAGACCGATGTCTCTATCTCGAACACCTTTGACTTTGATAAACGGGCTGATTTGGGCTGATTTTCGTTCGCGTGACGCCGGAAAGGGAAGCGACGACGTGACACGACGACGACGACGACGACGACTGTCCGCCGTGTTGCGGCTTTCCTTATCCTGTCGTCGGATTACGCACGGTATGTATACGTCTGATTCATCGATGACGCCGCAACGATATATCCTTTATTAGTAATTTAACGGTCATTAGAAGTCCGGTGCCGGACCTTTCCCTACCGTCAGCGAGGGCTCCCCGAGAGGGAAGAGGAACGTGAGGTCGCGCCTCGCGAGAGAAGCCAGCTGTTTATGCTCAGGAACGATCATCTGTCGCGATGGAGCCCGGCACGAGCAGCTCGATCGACGATTACGCGGAGATAATACGGAAATTGCCTGTTTACTTGAAATTAGCCTACGGCACGGGTCATGTGCTGAACGACATCTGCGCTTCCATGTGGTTCACGTATCTGCTGGTCTTCTTTCACCTGGTGCTAGGATTCGACCCGGCTTTGGCCGGTGTTGTGCTACTCATCGGTCAAATAGCGGATGGCCTGGTCACCCCGTTCGTCGGTTTTCAGTCCGATAGAAACGACAATTTTTGGCTGTGCCGATACGGCAGAAGAAAGACCTGGCACTTATTAGGTACCTATTGTTTTCAATCGTGTTATTATCTATCTGCTTATCTTGTCCAGTCTTGTTACTATCATATCTAAGTCAGGAAGTAAAGTATTGGCAGTATCGCTGGTGATTTGCCAGGAAGTACGAGAGAGTGAATATTGCCCCAACTTGGCATCGAGCGTGTCCACATTAAGCTTATGTTTTGCTAGCAGAGCCTATCGACATAATCTGACGGTAGGTTGCCAGTAAGAGAAACCAGTAGAATCTGTCATTACTTAACTACTTAAATAATATGTCCGTTTAAATGGTTAAGAAGTGGCACATTTTGCTTGGTTTTTATTGGCAATTTGCTGTCAGATTGTGTCAACGAAACACAAGTTTAATGCACATGCAGTCGATGCCAAACTGTCGCAATATTCCACAGTAAATCTGCTGTTGTGTTTTGTTAGCAGATTCTGTCATAGTTCTGCTGGCATTTTGTGAAGATTCGTAGCACATTTTACAAAATCTGGTTTCAACAGATTTAGCTATCTAGAATTAGCTCTAGTCTAGATCTATGGTTTTGTTTCGCAACACTGCAATAATTATTTACTTTGCAGGCACTATTTGCGTACTATTGGGATTCCCATTTATATTCTCGCAATGTATAGGCTGTGAAAGTTCGCATCAATACGCACAGCTAGTTTATTATGCTGCTTTCGTAGTGATTTTCCAATTTGGTTGGGCAGCGGTACAAATATCGCATTTGGCCTTAGTCCCAGAGCTTACGCCTGCTGAGCACGAAAGGACTGAACTTATAGCTATAAGGTAACTGTAGAAAAGTCATTGAAGAAAGCATGTGTGCAATATTTGTTCAATGAAGATGATAGCGTGTATAAAACAATCTCTAATTCTATATCATATTAAACAGGTTCACATTTACTGTCTTCTCCAATGTTCTTGTTTACTGTATTATGTGGGGTGTACTACATGTAACAAGCGATGAGTATGACGTTCAGATTGGACCTAATGACATTCACAAATTTCAAAAAGTTGTTCTAATTGGAATAACAGTTGGATTGGTAGCATCCGTTATCTTTCATGTAGTTGTTAAGGAAAGCGCTAATGGCAATGCTAATGGTAATGAAATATAGTTATTTCAGTGTTATATATTCATATGTTTATATGTATACATGTAGAACAAATAACAAATTGATGATATCTTTTCAGGTAGCCTTTTGCATAGAAATGACAGGACAGCATCAGTATTATTGAAAGATATTAGATTATATCAAGTAGCGTTCGTCTATATGCTTACGCGGCTATTCATTAATTTGTGCCAAATTTATATACCTCTATATTTACACGAGTCGTTGAATATGCCTGCGACGTCTCTGGCTTACATACCGTTGACAATGTATTTAAGTAGTTTTTTAACGTCTTTAATCATAGAGAGACTCAATACAAAATGGGGTCGAAAAGTCGCATATTCTATCGGTGCTCTATTTGCGATATGCGCCTGTATATGGATACAGTTTGGCAAGGGCGACATGTATATTAAATATCAGATCTATGTCGTAGCTACGTTATTAGGTAATTCGTGTACATTATTTTCAACAAGATATAACACAAATGTAGGATCTTATAAATTTAGGAAACCTAAAAAATTCTAATTAAATTCGCAATGTTTCAGGTTCTGCTGGTGCAATAATGTTAGTGACTAGCCTTGGCGTTACCGCCGATCTAATAGGAAAGAATACTGAGAGCGGTGCCTTTGCCTACGGAATTATGAGCTTCGCAGATAAGCTTAGTAACGGTCTGGTGGTTATGCTGATTCAATACTCAGTAAAGTTAGTAAGAATATCTAACATACATAAAACTTATATTAATTTTTATTACTTGAAAAGCCATAAATTGAAAGAACCACCGCTCTAACTGTGCTTGCCTTTCAGGCACTTTTCGGCTGGTTACGCTAACTATTACTACAGAGACATTCTTACATATGTCTGCGGCGTGTCTGCGGCATTTGCTTTACTGATGATTTTATACATCAAGCCATTCTCCCGTACCATGGGTATGTTTAAAATGCATTTATTTAGTAACATATATGACAATGATTATAAATCAATGTTCAACCATGTAAATACGAAAAATTATTTTAGTCTTTGATACGTTACGCAACGATGAGGATGAAGGTTTCATAGAAACTCCAAATGCGATTGACGGAAACTCAATCTCTTCAAACCAATCACAAGCCAATGTACATTGATGATGTAATTGATCTACAGTTTGTAAATATCATAAAATATGGAATTTAGAGATATTGACATTTATTAAGAGAAAATAAGCGGTGCTTGCTGTATAGGCTATGATATATGATATAGTAAGCAAATTACTATCTTTTTTACTTGAAATCGTTGATGTTATTGTTGATATTATTACAATTTAATATATTTTAACGATATGTATATGTATATGTATATTATTGGGATTTATTTCACGTTTTATTAATAGATTTATTAGTTGCTTTCCATTTACATCAAAAGTCAGATAATTCTTACTTGTGACGTCATTTGAATTCATCCTGGCAAGTGAAATTCAACTGAGTTTTTATCCACAATCGAGTGCGTTAATGAATCTAATAGAATTGCATTTAAAGTGAGGCTATGAATCTATATTGTTATGCGATAGCTTTGTCACCAAAATAAGCATGTACAAAATGATATGTTTTATCTGAGTATAAAATACTCACATAACTGAGTAACTCAGATAATTTGAGTGTAAATGGAAAACAATTATTATAACGTAAGAGATTATTGTAAACAATTTTTGAATTAAATATTTTAAATTTTTAATACTGTTATTATTTCGAAATTACCTCGAGATCACATCTCAAAATCATATGGAATATATAAACACATTTGTTATACTCTGCGATTGAATTTATGTGCGTATATTGTACTTTAAAGGTAAGTGCACTCATTTACTTGAGACTATATATTGCACCTCGTCACGCAAAGCAATAGAAGCTTGAAAAGTAATCTAAACTTAATATTGAAGTAATTATTTTACTCTAGAATTATTTACATTATATTTTCTTTTCTCTCGTTTCATTTATTTCTGAGTATTTTATTTTTTTATTATCCTTTTTTTATTTCTTCGTTCCTATTATATGAAAAAAACTGTCATAATATTATAAAGTTAAAAAATGATGAAGTAACTGAATTAATGTAAGGCGTAGTGATATAAGAAAACTTTTTTCTTATTGTAATATATTTAAAAGTTTATTGGTCTTCTCAAGAAACAAAATTGATTGTCTGTATACTATCCTTAATCTCTGATTAAGAATAACCAGGTGTTTTTATACCGTACTTAAAATATTTCTCAAGAAACAAAATTGATTGTTCGTACGCCATGCTTTGGTTATATGCAATTAATATTTCATTTCATTATTCTAAGATGTTTAAAAGTAAAAAGTTAACTTTTTCGACATTCTAAAGTTATTTGAATGTTGGAAGGAAAAAAAATCTTGGAAATAGCAGAAATAAGTAATAATTAA